AAGAGGAGACCTTAGCTCCAAGGGCGACACCATGAGTCTTTCTTTCCTCTTGTTTATTTTATTCCCTCTAGTATGAACTAATTTATCTGTAGTTAGGGTTGTGGAAAGCCTAATCATATCAATAAATATATTTTTATTCCGCCTTATTCATATTGATTTCCATATAGTCTATGAATTATCTTGCTTAATGCTATTAGGAGTTACCATCTCTTAATTGATCAGGCGTATGTGAATGAATCGAGAGAGGAATTCATATAGCTGACCGCATAATTAATGGTGTGAATTGAATGGTATATAGGGGTATATACACATGATTCATCTGAATATAATAGTTTTTCCTTGGACTTAATGCGCTTCTATCTTGAGAATTCTAGTCGAGAGATCGAGGGGTTACCTGATAGAAGTAGTTTTAGTATAATTCGAGAGAGAATATTAAATAAAATTGGAAAGACTTCAGCTTATGGGAATGACAAATTGTCTTGGATAATCTCATCCATTAATATTCATTGGAATGGTTAGGTGGACCGAAAGCCCTAGCGAATTCAACCAATCATTACATACTTCAGCATTGTTACTTCTGCTCTTGTTTTCCTTTTTTCTACTTTTGATTAGTTTTTATCTTCAAAGCTGAAATTCGATTGTCCAAATAATTAAGGAAGGCTGTAGTTCTAATACTTATTTTGTTAAATCCTCGTAGGAACGATATTTTTATACTACTTGATAAGTAGTGCACTTGTTAGGGTTATATATTTATAGCTATCAAAGGTGATCAGGAAAGAGGAGAGGAGAAGTTTCTCTTATAAAAAAAAAGAAGAAAGAATTTCAAAGCCTGCATGTTGCCGCTTTCAAGCATTTTGTTAGAAATGAAGTTTTAAGACCAATGGTGCTAGCCGCATGCATGTTGGGAAGCATGCCCAACTGAAGTAATCTCTCTCCCTCTTCGGTTTTCCCTCTTTGGCTCCCTCTAGCAACTCCCACATTGTGTTTCAACTTTTTTAGTTGTAGGAAGGAAGAACTAGAATTTCGGCTCCTCAACCATTGAAGCTTCGAAACCGTTACAGCTCTATGCCACATCAGCTAAAGGATTCTGGCCTTTGAGTTGTTGTAATCAAAAGTTTCATCAAATTACTACAAAAAGAAAAAAAAGATAAAATTGTCCTATTTTGTGCAGGTACAATTGATCGTTGCAAGTTCTTTCTACAACTACATGTTGTCAAGCTTTTCGGATTGTATCTGTAACAAGCTACAAGTACAAATTTGGGTTGTGTTTGTGACAAGAGAATCAAAGGGTTTCCATTGCAAAAAAAATTAAATTAAATTCCTTCCATTTGTCTTCATTAATTTTTGTGCTCCAAATTTAGCGCGAAATTTGTGTTGGCAGCCACTAAAACTAACATTTAGTGGCACTTAAATAAATGCCACTATACAAAACGCTTATAAATAATGGTTTTTTTGTAGTGCTTGTAATTTACACCCATTTTGTCCCTCAAAAGTCATTTGTATTTCCGTTTTGAGAATGGTTATGTAACTCATGAAATAGTGAGATAGCATTCTGCCACAACTCTTTATTTAAAACATACCCCAAAATACCTTTTGACCAAAACCATCCTCTACTTCATCGAAAACCTTTTGGATGATATTCCATTTGAAACCTGATACTACAAAAAGGCACTTGAAAGCTCTATACATAACAATGTTAGGTGCTCCTTTGAACTTCAACTTCTAGGAAATAAAACACAAGAGGTCATCTCTTCAATGGATGTAGGAGATTGTGTCTACACTTGAATGAAGCCTTGAAATGCCTGCAATACAAAGGTAGTGTCCACCATAATGTTCTCTGGAAGAAAAGAGAACCAAGTGATCCAAGTTCAAGCTCTCATCCTCCAAAGGTGAAGAAGAAAACAATAGCCTCAAACTCAAGGGCGGTTAAAGAAATCTCTAGCTTTTTTTTTCCCTGTCAAGGGTGGATAAGGTGGTGAGCTTGCTAAGAGGACCGGTAAACTCAGGGCCCAATAATGTACCCAGATTTCACATGGACAACGTTGCTTGAGATATACAACAAACCTACTATTGAAAAATGTAAATGAAAAATTATTACTGAAGTATTGAAACTCTCTGACTTCTATTTGTTCCCACAAAGCAGGAAGTCTCTAGGGGGAAGGGGAATGAGAGTGGTAGGAAAGAAAACAGGGGTGTTAGAAATTAAAAGCAATTTGCAATGGTGAAGGGACAATTAGCTTTAGTTGATGAAGCCATGAGTCTTAAAAAAACAAAAAAGAAAAATTTTTGAGGATCTAAGCTAGTTATAGCTATAAGACAATAATCTTTTCCCCTTGATAGGTTTTCATAAAATTTGTATCTATGTGGGGTTGTTTTTATATGAATTTTGGTAGGAAATAGGAATCTGGATTTGCTGGCCACGCTCATCCAACCACGCATATGGAACATTGGTTGTGTTCTGATCACTGATATTCTAGATGTCCAGCTCGATTTGTGTGGCCAGCAATGTCTTGTGGTCAATAGATCCAAACAAAGTAGACCCTAAGTTGGGGAGATGCAGGAGAACAAATGGAAAGAAGTGGAGACATGCACAAGGACATAAACCATTCAAGGAAGCCTATGGAAATTATTATGGCAAACAATGTTTTAAAAAAGCTAAAGGCATACTTGAGGCATAATGTTCCAAAAAGGTGAGGCAAAGGCCTCAAGGCATTGCAAGGCATAAGCCTTAAAAATTAAGAAAAACTTAATTAAAGTTTATAAATGATAAAAGTAACATATAATATACCAAGTTAGAATGATAGAAGGTACAAATATCTATAAAATATAAGTTTATAAGCAATAAACTCTAAGTTTTAGGCAAAATAAAATAATAATTAATCAACTAACAATTATAAACATTTTACACTTCATGTCCAAAATGCAATATTTAAATGTCCAATGACCAATTTAGAAGAAAGGAAACATATGAAGAATCATCCATATATAGATATTAGATTTATGGTTATCCAACAATTAGGAAGAAAATAAATGGGAAAAACAATAAACTTGGGAAGTTAGATTTAGAGTAATAAGACAAAAAATCCACTTGATTTCTCCAAGAGAAAGTAAGAACTTGATTGACATTTTTTTTTTGCATTGAACTCTCCTAAAACACGAAGAGAAAACTAATAGAACTTGATTTGCCTATTGGTTTTTCATTTTTACTATTTTTATTTGGTCCATAATTATTGAAATGTTCTTCCGTATATTTTGAACTATAGAAATGCATAATATATTGCATTAAATCACTAAATAACCATTGATACTGGTGGCTTATGCCTTTTTAGTTTTTATGCCTCACATCTTGAGGCTTGAGGTTTACACCTTATTTTGACAAAGGCTTAAGCCTTGAAATAAAATCTATGTGCCTCGCCTCAAGGCTTAAGCCTTTTAAAACAATGAAGACAAACACCTCTACAATAATCCCATCAATACCTAGAAATCCCTTTTTCATTACCAACAGCTCAACTACAAATTCATCTTCTTATTCCCTTTCTCATATTCTTCATCAGAGGCTACTTTACCTCATCATCTATGTACACCATGTGTATTATAACATGCCACATCATCCCTCCTTTATTCCAATAAGTCCTTTTCCAAAACCTCCTAGCAATGGATTCGTTGTTAAAAAAAAAAAAGAAAAACTCAGCCCATTTGTTCTTGGACTCTTGCTCAGAGGCTAATAAAAATTATAAGTTTGTGTAGAAGTCCCTTTTGTATTCAATTTTGTTACATTCGTTGGTGTTGTTTGGGGTTGAATAGTCAAATGCTTCCATTTGGGATTTGTCTTTATCTTTTACAAACATCACCACTTTTCTTTTATCACTCCTTAAGCACTTGATAGATTTATGGCCTGGTTCACTACACTTAAACACTTCAGCCCAAATAATAATAATAATAATAATGATGATGATGATGATGGTGATGAAGAAGAAGAAGAAGATGATGATGAAATAATAATAATAATAATAATAATAATAATAATAATAATAATAATAATAATAAGAAGAAGAAGAAGAAGAAGAAGAAGAAGAAGAAGAAGAAGATTGGGAGAGACACTTTCCTTAGCCGCTGATGGCTCTTGAGGAACAAAGAATTAAATAAAATAGGTTAAAACTATAGGGGTGCTTTAGTAATATGCACACCACAAGGGTGTATTTTAGTTAATACAAGTATACAACAAAGTATAAGAGCCTGAGGCTCGTTTGTATCCAATGTAAAACGCCATTAGTGTAAAAGTACACTGATGACGTTTTACACTGAACCGTATAATATGTAACCGTTACATTTTGAAAACCGTGATGAAAAGTATAAAGTTTTACATCGATAAAGTCAAAGTAGTATTTACATTGATAATCGATTTGATAATCGATGTAAAACTTTATGCTTGATGAGGTTTTACATCGATTCACAATGTAAAACTCCACTCCATCCAAACACCAATAAATCTAAACCGGAATTGAGTTTTAAATCAATCTCCCTTTACACTCATTCCAAACATCAATAAAACCAAAACGGTATAAACTTTTACATCGATCTTGATTTACACCGATTCCAAACGCAGCCTTAACAAAATAACTCTTTAATGATTAGGGTAAAATACAAAAACTTGCAATGAGGTTTTTGATAATTATAAAAACCTCCCCTAAGATTTTACTTTCACAAAAACCTCTCCTATACTTTTTAAAAAGCCTCATCAAAGTACCCATTTTACACTTATATCTATCCATCTACATGAAAATATACTAAAATACCCCACAAGAACTTTTAACTTAAATTAAAAAATTCATCCATTAGATTGAAAAGAGTATTAAAGTAAACTCTACAAAAACGTTAGGTTTAGTAAAATCTTAGAAGGGCAACCGGTTCTGGTTTTGGGATAATTACCGATAAGTCGGTTTCGGTTCCTAAATCTATTTTTCGTATTTTCAAAGTGAACTGTGACGCGCTCTCTCTCTCTCTCTCTCTGCATTTTGCACACTTGGCGCGAATTCTGCACCCCGTTTAATAGAATTCGATAAACGATGGAAGGTAGACGGGAAGGAGAGGGAGGGACCGAGGGAGAGAGAGAGAGAGGAGATATGCATCAGCGTGAAGAAAGAGTTCAAAAAACGCCACCGTGCTCCCATCCTACTTTCCTCCAACGTGTCTCTTTTCATGGCTATCGACGTGTCTCCCTCGAGTTTCTGAAGACTCTTCGTAGTGCCATTTTTGTCAACTCTCTCTCTCGGGCCTCCTTTCTGCCCGTAGCTTGGTTGAGCCGTTTTCTCTCGCTTTCTCTCTCAAGAAATAGAGAAGGTAAAAGGGTTCTATTTTTTGTTTTTATTTTTTAAATTCATGCAAAGCTTCGATCTTGGTGCATGTCTGCATGATCCATCTTTGCTTACGACCTGGATGATGTTTTGATTTTATTCCTGTTTTTTGCACTATTGGGTTTCTTTTTTGCTGTTTGTTGTGAAATTATTGTTCCTCTTGTGGCATAAATTACTTTTCATGGTATAGGAGTCTTGCATTTTTACATTTTTTTTTTGTTTCTTTTCTGCTCTCAGATTTAGTGTTTTTTTTTTTTGGTTTTTTAAGGTTCAGGGTTTTAGACAGTTATGCAATGGCTTCCAAAGCATAGGAGTGATTTTGGTTTCCTAGTTTAGCTCTATTATGCGTGGTCTTTACTGTATTTAATCTTTGTTCTTGTTTTTCCCTCCTCATTTTAGTTGTCCAATTGGGGTGTTTTCTTGGGAAGTATATCTGGATCTCTAGCAGTTGTTAAATGGATTGAATTTTATTTGGGATGTATATTGTCAAATGATAGGTTTGTCATAGATGCTAGCTCAGAGGATATTTCTAGTGTTCTTTAAATTAAGGGGGGTGTTTTCCAGCGTTGTTTCAATTGATGGGTCTGTCATAGATGCTAGCTCAGATGCTTGTCCTCTGGTGCTCCTTTTTTCGTTTTTTTTTTTCCTATTAATTTTTCTTTGTTTATAACGGTTCAATTTAAGGCTTGGGGACAATGATGCATTTAAGATTATTACTAGGTAAAGTGAGGAAAGATATGAAGCATCAGGCAATTCTTAAATTAGGAGTGAACTGATTGAATCTGCAACTAGCACTTAGTCTCTGTTGCATTGCTTCAAAGGGGTTGGGGGGAGGCACAATTGGACTGGAGTAATTGATAAAGAAGAGGAGATCTTGTTGGAAAACCATGATTTAATTTGGAAATATTTGAGCATTTGAGAGATGACTAACGGTTGATTCTTACTGGCATTATTAAGGAGGGAACTTTACCTAGATTTGGGATCTAGTTGATAACTTGATATATATGTTGGCCACTAAATAAGTTGTATGGTCAGCATTCACTATCCTGATCTTTACCCACATAAGTCTGTTGCTTTGCATTTGTCTTGTTAATATTCTAGTATGGCTGTCTACTGGTATGCAAGCAGAAAAGTCTGGCAGTATAGATGCTCTAATATTGTTCTAGGAGAATGATTGCATTAATGTTGTAATGGGAAGAGTATATATGTATTGTTAGATGTCAATCCCTCAGTTCCATTAGGTCCAGTTGGCTACATTATGCAACCATGCTTATAAGCACATTGTGCAATGATGTCTACTGTTATACAATTTTCCTAAGATCTTCTACGAAAAGGTTTCAATTTTCAAAAGAAACCCACTAGCAATCTCTACTTGAGTCATTTCCAATGTTTCAATGTGTTTATGTTGTCTTGGAAAAACTTTGCTTTCCCAATGATATTAACATAACTTTTCAGTCAGTTTTGGGAAGATCTTTGGCTGGGTGATACTCCTTTCTGTTCCCTTTATCCCAATCTTTACTCGGTTTCTAATTATGAGCAGAGACCTGTTTCAAGTTTCATCACCTTCTCTCAATTCGGTGTGAGTTGGAACTTTGGTTTCAGGAGAGGTTTAAGGGATAATGAGTGTGAAAGCTTCTTATGATTGTTTGACAATCTCAAATCAGGTTTTCTAGTTCAATCTTTAGAGGACACTAGAGTATGGTCCACCTCTTCTGATAGCTCCTTTTCCTGTTCCCTTTTCAACTCCCTTGTGCAATCTTCTAGTTGGGGGGGGGGGAGGGTTTCCCGGTGAAAGAGATTTGGAGTAAGCCCATTCCACCCAAAATTCAAGCTCTTTGCGGGGAGAATTTCCTTGGAAAGGTGAACACTTGCGACGTGCTTCAAAATAGGAGGCCACATATTTGCCTTTTCCCTCATGTGTGCTATCTTTGTTATGCAAATGGTGAATCCCTTCCTCACTTATCAATCCATTGTCCTTATGTTCTCTTTGTATGGGAGTCTTTTTGCTCTCTTTTGATTGCAGGTGGAGCTCTCCACAGGATGTAGTGAGCCTCTTAAACCCAAACTTCCTAAGGTAGCCGATGAAAAGGGAAAGGACAATGTGGAAATCAGTTAGGGCGGCTGTGATATGGACGATTTGGGAGGAAAAGAATTCAAGAATATGGAAAGTGCAGATCAAGAGAAGATTTAGTGGAAACCATAAAGATAAAAGTTGCTCATTGGATAAAAACACTTGAGCTGTTCCAAAGCTTCTCTTAGTGGTTGATATAATGTGGCTTGGAAAGAAGTGGCCTTTTCATGGGGATGGAATGGAAGCCCCCAGCTCCAAACAAATTAAATCTGAATTTTGATGGCAGCTCCACAGGGAACCTGGAATTGGTAGGCATAGGGGGTGTTCAGAGATTCAACAAACAAAGCGCTGGCTATGTATTCATGGCCTATAGGGGTTCGAGATTCAATAAAGGGCGAGCTACTGGCACTTCTTCAGGGGTTAAAACTAGCCAAACAAGCAGATTTTAAAAACTTGGAGGTTAAAGGGGACTCAAAACTAGTGACTTTTTGGTCTAACTTCAGAGGTAATGCTCCTTGGATCTATAGACATTCCCTGCGAGAGATTGAAATTTTAGCAAGGGAGCTCAATGCCTCTTTCACTTGGATCAGAAGGACTGCAAATGAGATGGCTGACTAACTAGAAAAACAGGGAGTTTACAGACAACATATTTCTGGGCAGTATAGTAAAATCATTATGTAAGACTGACTGTGCTCTTCTGTTGGCTGTAATCTGTTTTCATCTTTCTCTCAAATTAAATAAAATTAATCCTTTATTTGCTGATAAAGAAACATAGCTTTTCAGTCAGTATGTATGGGAATATTGATTAAATAAAAAAAATTGATGCTTAGGTAAACAACATATGCTTAAATGTTTAATACTATGTTACCTAGATACAACGAGGATGCGGCTGGGTGAGATATCATATATGAAATTTACATTAAAATTAAAGTATATGACATGATATGACACCCTTGTACAGGTATCTGGGTATCATAGGTTAAATATACTCAAGAAGAGGCACTTTTGTGTGTCTATCAATGCTAATTGGTTTTCCTAAGTGGATGAAATGTCATTGTTGGAAATGCGCCAGATTTTAATACTACATGAGTTCTTGAGGGGCATTTCTAAATATAGTTTATACTTTCTTCTTGCTTATTTGACATAAGTGAACTTTTGATATTCATAATGAACTCAGTCTTTTGTTATAGAGTGTTTCTAGGTAACAAAGATAAACTTTAAGGTTTATGTATGCATTCTTCTGTGGGCATATAATGATATACAATTCACAAAATATGGGAATTTTTTAAGGGTAATTATCTCTTTTGAATCTTTAAGTGATGGGTCCATGTCGTTGCTTATGCAACACTGGTATTTATATTATTTCTTCAATGTTTTAATATTTTATATCTATTACCCTTTTGCATCATTGGTTGAAATAACAATGGATATGTAAGCTCAAAAATAGAAATCAGAGCAGTGAAGGAATGAGTAATTCTTCTAATAATTTGTAGAGAAAGGTGGAGAAGATGAACTTGGGACTGAATTCTGATCTTCAAAAGTCTTGGCAATAAATCCGATTGAAATATGAGGAAGTAGAGAAGAGAAGGGAAGAAGAGAGAAAAGAAGAAAGAAAGGAAGAAGAAAGGGTTTGGAGCAATAGAACAGTGCTGGCGGCACCAACTTCTATTATATTATATAGGCGGCAAAAATAAGAAGGGAAAAGACCCTTGTGCCCCTGCTGTAAGTGAGTACAATAATAGAAAATAAAAAAATGCTTTAACTAGCCAAACAGACCCTAACACAAATAACTAAATTATTTCAACACTCCCCCTCAAGATGGAGCATAGATGTCAATCATGCCCAACTTGTCACACAAATCATTGTGCCGCACATGATGAAGACCTTTGGTGAAGATATCTGCAAGTTGTTCTTCTGAGTTGACATATGGAGTACACACTTCTCCATTTACAAGTTTCTCTCTAATAAAATACTTGTCCACTACAATGTGTTTCGTCCTATCATGCGAGACTGGATTAGCAACAATATTGATGGCAGCTTTATTGTCACAGTAGAGTGACATAGGATTGCTCACTGCAAAACCCAATTCACCTAACAGTTTTCTTATCCACATGGTTTCAGCAACCCCATGAGACATCGCTTTATATTTTGCTTCAACACTAGATCTAGGCACTACACTTTGTTTTTTACTTCTCCTCCATGTGATCAGGTTTCCTCCTACAAAAGCACAATACCCACTGGTAGACTTTCGGTCATCAACTGCTCCTGCTCAATCAGCATCAGTATATACTTCCACCTTTAAGTG